CAAGGGGAACAGTCTGGGAAGAAACTGGCTGGGGGCCTGCATGCCTCCCCCTATCCACCAAGATAGCCCCAGGGAAACTATAGGGAAACTAACTTTTTTTGTTAAAACATAGAGAATTAGAGTTTATAGGGATGAAGAAAAATATATGATGGAATTCCCATTTGAAAATAAATACTAAACAAATAAAATGTACACATTTTAAAAATCCCTTTGTAAAGAAATCTGGAATAAAAAGTTACTTCATAAAAATAACTATATTTTTGAAAAATACAATCATTTAATTAAAGCTACATTTTCCTTTTATTTAAAATAAACAACTTTAATTGAGTTAAGAACCCAAGGAATGCCAGGTAAATCTGCTTGTTTATTTATAAAAAAGTTAAACACATACACACTAGTCAGTAAAAATCAAATGACATAAGAAATCTATAAATGTGATATTGAAATTTGAGATTTTAAGCAAGAGTGGTACATGTCACATTTCTAACTTGAGCCTCTTTCTAAGAGATAAACCAATGATTCTCTGTTCCTTCTGGGAAAACTTGCCAGATCTTCCTGATGTTTCTCTAAATAATCTTTTTTTCCACTTAATGAATTTAAGCAAAAAGGAATAAAAGGAAAGAAAAGATAGGCTTCTGAATTGCTAGTCCCTGTGTCTAGATACTTAGAAAATTTAGATTAAATCTCAAGGAAAACTTCCTAACTGTAAGAAGAGTAGGACAATGAAACATGCTGGTCAAGAGTTTTTGGAAATGGCTATATTAGAGGTTTACCAAAGGAGTTACCTGTGAACATGGTTTGGATACAAACCTGGCATTGTGGAAGTACCATGGTGGTAACTTCTATTCCTATGATTCTACAATTTTCAATGTATTTATTCTCAGGGAGATACAGTAAGATATCTTAATACTTCCATTATATTTTGGTCATCTGAAACACAGAGAGGCTAAGTGATACTACCAGGAAGCCTGTAACAGAGTTGGGGATTGAACCTAGATTTTCCAACTCGAAAGCTAGCTTCAGAAGGACTGGACAATTTTTTCTCTCCTCCACCCTCAGGACAAAGACAGGAATGTTATATTCTATAACTCTTTGAGCCTCCCAACTGCTGTTCTTCCAGATTCCAGCACAAAGGAAGAAGCTAACTCACCTTCTCCTTAGAGAGCAGCATCTGTCGGGAGATGTCATGAACATATGAGATAAGGAGATAACTGAGGTCAATGTCATGGAGATAGTTGAAGATCAGGAGTCCTATCATCAAATGTTGCTGTGTTATTATGGTTGTCTTCCAGACCTCTACAATTGTAGACTGAATTCTTATATTCAAAAGACAGATTTTAAATAGCATCTAGTTTTGCCAAGGAGATGTTTGTCTTTGCTGTGCTGAGTAGATATCTGGAAAATGCACATTTTCGAGGCTAAATAATTAAAAGAAAGAGGTGGTGTCATGGGGCAGTGAACGTCAAGGACATCTTATTCTGTACCCTAGTGATGAATGTTCCAGCATATTCATACAAACAGGTTTCTCTTGAGATGGTTTGAATGGAAATAATGTAATTGCACAAATAAGGTAAGCTGGGTTTGTGTAGAGGAGAAAGAATAGGAAAGACAGGCATCAATCCTGCTTCTCTTAGTTGGTGACATGTGGTGAATAATTGATCATCCTTTCCTTCCTTCTGATATGCTCACTAATTCTCTCAGTGCCAGTCTCCTCCAAGTGTCACATTCACTATTAAACCAACAGAGGAACCCAAAACCCCCTTGAGAATTCCTACTGTCAAGGATGCCTTGCAAAGCACCAAATGAAAAATTAAATGTGAAAAGCAAGAAAATGACTGTAATTTACTTCACCTTTACTGTCTGCTGCACACTACACTCAATAGGCTCTGTTCCCCATCCAAACCCGACTAAAAGTGCCTGCATTTTGCAACAGAAAGAAGGGAATGGTGATACCTGTGTTGAGAATGAGAAACAAATATTTCATTTCTGCTTTTATTGTACTCACAGTGATTTAGCAGCAGAATGTACAGATTTCTATAAAGATTTGTAAGTAAATTAGTGTTTATTAATAAAAGGAACAAATAGGAATGCCAAGATTTTGCTTGTTCTGGACACACACTTCATATATATCCTCAACGAATTTGAATCCCTACCATTCTGTTCTAATCCTACAGAATTATGTACAAAAAAACCTGCATTCAAAAATAAAACAATGCAAAATGTTAGAGCCTACAAGTCTACTCAGTACACTTGTCCTTGTTGAACATCATCAGATTTCTTTTGGCCCAATCTTCCAGTTTCCCTAGGTCACTCTGGACCTGATCCCTGCCCTCCAGCGTATGTACCTCTCCCCCTATCTTAGTGTCAT